TAAACTGCTAATGTCTTGGCCTCTGTTACCTTAATACGTATTTCGCATGCACTTTAACATGGACGTGTTGGCTGCACCGATAGAACGTAAGCTCTGTGAGACAGTGATTGTTTCATTTTAGCCTTTGTTTCCACATCGTCTAGCACAGTACTTGGCACATGATTGGTACTAATAAATTCTTGTTGATTGATTCCTAGATCTGTAACTAGAAGGTAGGATGTGGTACTAACCATATCAACTCCAAGTCTTTTTCAATTTAAAATAAAAAGTATTTTACATAAGGGGACTCTTCTTAAAAGTCATAAATTGTTCTTTAATAAAAGCACAATTTAGCCTGCAAGAATATTGTCTTCAGAGTATTACAGTGGGTTAGGAATCTAGAAGTTTGTGACCTGATTATTGCCTCACTTTGGATTACATGTGACCTTTGCAGACAAATGAATGTTAACTCGGTGCTTTACAGGACCGAAAAGTTAGCTGCACAATAATAGTCCCTTTCTATTCTCTGCTAAGGTTCCACAAATGAATGCCTTAAAGGCCTCTGAGATCATCAGGTGAAAAGTGTAAAAATGCTCTTTTTTCTTCCCCTAGTGGTTCCCTCAGATGAGATTAAGTGCCAAGGTGTTTTGTTCTTTCAGTCTATAGGTGGGACTAGACTTGTGGAAATAACAAATTATAGTCATTATCCCTCTAATAATACCTGATTACTTCCCCCTCAAAGGATATTGCTAGAATATGTCTACCACTACTATTAACCTCAACTGGGATTGTCATAGAAAAGAAGCAATTAACAGATATCACACTGGATAAGGCTTTTTTGAAAGAAGAGCCAAAAGCTTGGAGTTTAAAAAGGATATTAGACTTAATCTGAAGGACCAGACAGACATTGGAAAAACCCTTCCCTCCACCAAGTTCCTGGCCTACAGAAAAGCTGCTCATAAGGCAATATTTTTACAAAATGAACATGTAACACATAAGGTAGTGGAAAGTATTAGACTCAGGCAGAGAATCTGGGTTCAAAATCTAGCTTGACCTTGTGCAAGTCAAGTGACTTCTCTAACATTTTTGTTTTCTTATTTTGTGGAACAAATGAGTGAATCAATAAATCTGTAAACTGAGGGAGTTAGACTTGACTGTCTCTTAAGGGTCCTCCCGGTTCTAAGCCCCTAGTCTCATGGCCTTACATCTGTGTGTCATTTTCATGTATGTTCTACTGGATTCTAACAGCAGCTGAGTGAAGTGGACATCAGAAATACCATTTCAATAATTTAAGAATCTGTGATGTCGGTTACATGGGTATAGATTACAATATTTCTTTGACTTAGGAAAAAATATCTTCAAGACTTACTGGAGCCCATGGAAACCTCTTTGAAGTTACCTAGGTTGGTCTTCTGAAAACAAACATGCCAAGTCCACACTCAAAATCTTTCCAGCTTAGTAGGTTTACTGTGGGCCGGGATACTGGTGAAACTAGGGAGGCTTGAGTGAAACTTCCTCCACATTTCCACAATAGTTGGGACTATTTTGAGCAATGAGATTATGGAACAGACCTTGAGCAGTTTGAGTTAACTTTGCCGCCTGGTGGTGATTTGGGACCCAGCTGTGTGCCCTTTTGGGTAAGGAGGATAGAAAGTCAGCTCTTGAGACCCCAGATAACTTCCTACCTCTTTGTAGATGGCATTTACTTTCTTATATCTCCCTTTGCATGACATTTAACCCCATGAGAGCTGCTTTTTCCTTGGTGTATATGAATATGTTTTCATTAATTGGATTGTCTGTTTGAACCCTTGGGCTCTGATTAGTCCGTTGGGCCAGATATGGAATGGTGACTATGATAAGGCTGCTCCCACAGCTTTGAGATCTCAGGATTCTTCCCTGTTCTTTGACTTACAGCTGCAACTTCCATTTGTAGAATCTATAATTTAGAGCACAGAAAGGCAGCAACAGCATAGTGTGGTCTTTAAGTTAGAAAAACCTGGGTTCAAGGCCTGGTTGTATGACCCTGGCAAGTCACTTAACCTCTTAGTGGCCCCAAGCAACTTTTTAAGGCTATGGAATGTGGATCAGGTGCCAGAATCAGTGAGGAAAAGGTTTCTTCACAGATCCAATAGAAAAATCACTTGGAATAACTTTGCAATAGCCTCAGCCAATCGATTCTTTATCATCATAAATTATTAAATTTTTTCCTTTCAATTAATTAGTTAATTTTTAACATTCATTTAAAAAATTGAGCTCCAAATTCTTTCCCACCTCTCTTCTACCCCTTGAGAAGGCAAGAAATATATCATCATAATATTTAAAAAATATTGATTGGGTCTCAGTTCTTGGTGTATAGCATTATACTAAAGGCACATAAGATTTTGTCTCCAGTACTATTTGCCATCCCCTCATACATGCTTCATGCCTTTATTCACATTTTTCAGAACTAGGATGCCCTTTCCTCAACTACTTCACCTATTGAAATGTTAACCATCTTTTAAGATCCAGCTAAAACAGGACCTTTTCCCCCCTCTATACATAGATTCTTTATTTTCACATTTATATTTCCAACATTGAAGAATTGGAGAATTTTGTAAGAATAGAAATGTGTTGCATGGTTGCTGTTACATAGCAGCAGTATCTTTGCCAAGATACTCCAGTATCTTTGCCAAGAAAACCCCAAAATGGAGTCATGGATAGTCAGACACTACTGAAATGACTGAACAACAACAACCACAACAAGGTAGAATACTTGCTCTAGAGTCAGAAATCTCCAAGTTCAAATGTTGTTTCAGATTTGAAACACTAGCTGTGTGACCTTGGGCAAGGCAAGTAGCCTCTTTCTTTTAACCTCAGTTTCCTAAAATGGAGATAATAGCATCTACTTCACAAGGCTGTTGTTAGGATCAAGTAAGATATGTAAAGTGCTTTGCTTAACTTAAACCTTAACAACAATAGCTACATAGATGCCAGTTATTATTGTTATTATTCCCAGAATAGCTGAATGTTGTATCTGCATTGGGAGCCAAGGAGTGGTTGGATTAGATGAGGAAAGCATATTCAAAGCTCAGTAGATAAACTACACCATACCTAAGTGGCATATCACAAGAACTCTAACAAAAGGTGTTCAAGGAGGGATGCTACATGTACTCTCTAAGCTGGAGTCCACTTTCACCTGTACTCTATGTACTGGTGGGAGAGTTTGTCACAGATTTTTGGAAGGCAATATTTTGTATCAACTGTTCCTTAATATACCACATTAATAAATACTTCTTTTCAAAAAGCTAATCAAACCTGGCAGACTAATTGATTGCAATTTATAATCATAGGTGAAACACTTTGTAGTCAGTAGAGAAGGAGCCAGTAGATAAGGAGAGATTAAAAATAAGAGACAGAACTGGGATGACAGAGGAGATGGGATGGAATGGTATGACTTGAGCAGGTAGAGAAGTTAGCCTTGGTAAGGAGTGAGGCCACCTCTTCATGTTAGACAGGGCTGGCAGAAGACACTTGAGTGATAAGGGGGAGCTCAAGTGAATGGTCTCAATTTTTTTCTATAATGTATAGGGCAAGGCTCTCAGCTGAGAGAGGGAGGGAGAGCCATAGAGGGTTAGAGGAAGGATGAAAAGTTTTAAAAGAGCCATTGTGGAGGGCAGGATAGCAATTTGATAAGGGATATATAGTTGGATTGCCTAGCTTTAGTGAGGGCCTAGTTGAGCAGGTAGAGTTGTATTGTGGGTTTTATAGTACATTGTATTGTATTGGACTCAGTCAGAATGGTTGCATGGTTTTCTCTACCTTCATTTAGCAGTACATGTGTAGAAGTGAAGGTGGCAGATGGTGGAAGTCATCCAAGACTGAGGTTAGGTAGAGTGCAATTGGTGATATGATAATGGGGCTAGGAACTCATGAGAAGAGAAAGTGTAGAGTTGAACTGGTTCACCCAAAGATTATCATGGGAAAAAAAAAAGAAGAGAGCAAGGCTAGTGTAGGGGAGGTGGCCTAAGAGAGAATTGAGAAATCAAGGTAGGGCCAAAGAATGAATTTTGGTAAGGGAAGGCAGAAGGAGGGGTGGAAAGCCCCTGGTCAGATAAGGGGACTTTGGAATTCTTGATCATGGAATTGGGGCATTTGTGGGTGGGACGGTAAGGTCAAGGATATGACCATCTTTGTATGTGGCTGAGGTGGGGTGGAGTAGGTCATAGGAAGTGAGTAGGTTGAGGAACTATGTGATTAAGGTGTTTGAGGAAAAGTCAATATGTTGAAGTCCCTGAATATGAGGGGAGGAGTTGGGGAGGAGAGAACAGTTGTGAGCCATGTACTGAACTCATTGAAAAAGGAAGGAGAGTGACCTAGAAATCTAAAGACAATAGCTACCAGGATTTTGATTGGGTGGAGGAGAGGTTACTGAGTGATAGAGGTAAGGGGAAAATCTGGAAGTGGCAATGGGAAACAAGGAATATTCCAACTTTCCTTCCTCAACCAATGAACTGAGGTGAATGAGTAAAGGAGCAGCAGTACTGGAAAGGGTGGTCAGAGAGGCTGGAGCATTAGAGGGGAAACCAAGTTTCAGTAATAGTTAGAAGATGGAAGGAGTAGGAGAGGAAAAGATTTAAGATTGAAGTGAAATTTGTTGCCTATGAAACAGGCATTCCAGAGGGCACAGTGGAAAGGGTGGGTGGAGTTTGGTTGGAATTCTTGGGTAGGAGGATTGAGGGGGATGGGAATAAGGAATCAGGAGGTGAGGTGAATGGGAATGGGGTCTTCATAATGACCTACAAGGGTTAAGAATCACTAGGATATGTATGGTATGACCAAGTGTAAGAATGTTCGTCACTGAGTGGAAGGCATCATTCCTCTTCCCAGAGGATGCTGGAGACAAATGGAACATGAAATGGAAGGCAGATTGTCGGAGGGGAGACCTTATTTTACTAGTCTTTCTTCTGAGAACTGAAGATTAGGCAGGAAACTGTGCAGCCACTTCCTGCTGACTTTTTTCTTCCTCTTCCCTCAAGCAACAGGTGTAGCAGGAGATGGAAGACCTGAAGTCAAAGGGAAGGTTGTTTCTCTTTGCACCAGAGTTTCTCCACATCCTGACTGGGAGTACAGACAGGCAACAGGAGGTGAAAGTTGCCTTGTGCTGGTAGATGGAAGTTGGTCCACTGGCCTCTAGCAATGTTCTATCAAGGGCCATCTACAGCAGGAGATGGAAAGCCCATACCATACACTATATAGAATACTGTATACTAAATCAGAATTATCAAAACATGTTGCCCACAACACTCCTGAATATGGCCCAAACTGGGTTAAAATACAGTTCCTCTCTGATTTTAATCTGTTTATGTGTTAATAAATAAAAGAAATATATAAATAATATGTGCCTGATGAATAATATATATTAATAATAAATGGCTTATTATGCATGGGTGATGAATTACATAATACATATGCATGATAAATAACACTACATGTGTGGCAAATTTATATATACTGTATATATGCAGAACATATAGGATGCAATTTTATTATATACTATACTAGAGTGTATTTATACCTATATAAATATATTTACATATACCCTATATACTACATACTATTTTGTTGTTTATTCGTTTTAGTTGTATCCTATTCTTTGTGATGCCATTTGGGGTTTTCTTGGCAAAGAGAGTGGATTGGTTTGCTATTTTCTTTTCCAGCTCATTTTACAGATGAGGAAACTGAGGCAAACAAGATTAAGTGACTTTCTCAGGGTCACATAGCTAGTAAGTATCTGAAGCTGAATTTGCTGGATTCAAAGTCAGGACTTCTTGACTCCAGGAACAGCACTCTATCCATTGAGCCACCTAGCTGCCTACTATATACCATATAATATAATATGCATAGTATGCAAGTATAGTGAGTATACTATATTATATACTAGTATATTATAATAATATATTATTATGTTTTAGCAATTGGGGATAAGTGACTTGCCCAGGGTCACACAGCTAGTAAGTGTCATGTTTGGTCTGAGGCCAGATTTGAACTCAGATCCTCCTGACTTCAGGCTGGTGCTCTATCCACTGTGCCACCTAGCTGCCCCTATAATATATTATACTATACTATACTATACTGTATGCTATACTACATATGATATAATGCTTAATATAGAGAATACTATATATCAATGGCATCAAACACAAATAAAAATGAGAGCCACTAAATCATACACAAGGATCCCTGTAGTTTGCATATTGACTTAGAAAACTACATATTAGCATCAAGTTCTATTGCATTTTTATTTTGTTCAACATTTACCAATTGCGTTTTAATCTGGCTTACCATACGTGGAGGTTTTACACGGCTGCAGGCTGCGAGTTTCACTGCATATTACATACCACATGGGAGCATGTACAGTGTACAACTAACTGGTACAGTGGAGAGAACGCCAGGCCTGGAGTCAGCAAGACCTGAATTTAGATCCCGCCTCAGACACTCACTAGTTGTAGTACCTTCTGCTTGTCTTAGTTTCCTTATCTATAAAATGGGGATAATAATGGCACCTACCTCTCAGGGTTATTGTGAGGATCAAATGTTTTAATATTTGTAAAGCACCTGGCACAGTGCCTAGTATATAATAGGTGCTATATAAATGCTAGTTGTTGCTATTATTATTATAGTATACTATGTAATATAGCATATAGCATAGTTTATTGGTATATACTATATTATAACATAGTATCCTATAAAGTATAAGCTGTACCATACTATACAATGTTTTATATTATACTGTATATAATACTGTATACTATATTATACACCAGAGGTGTCAAGTTCATGGCTTAGGTGTGCAAGCTACCTGAAAAACCTCCCAGGGCAGTTCGAACCAGATCAAAGCATAATTGGGAAATATTTAACAAAATAAATAAAAATACAATAAAGCATAGATAAAGCAAATTTGTGGTTTTCTAAGTTAATATGTGGCCTGCAGGAATCAATTTTTATTTGAGTTTGACACCACTGCTATATAGTACATATTATATAGTACATAGTAGATACAGACAGATGTTTAAAGTAAAATCTGAAACCTGGTCTTTCTGACTACAAGTTTAATGCCTTATCTACTATCCAGAGCTATGATCTCAACCAGTTAATAGCTTCTGTGCCTGAAAATCCATCACCTGATAGCCAGCCTTCTGGGGCCCCTGGTCCAGGGAGACACATCATTCATCTCTAGACCTAAGCTTTCCAACACATCAGAGTTTGTGCTTCCCTGGCACGGTCTTTGCAAACCCAGGGTCACTTCCACCCTTCAATGATGCATCAGAATTAGAATTTGGTGGAGGATTACTAACATTAATGTAAAAACATCATGCCTTATTGAACCATTCAAGTTCTTAATTAGTTCACATTAAGTCTTAATTATCAAATTTACAGATGACACAAAGCCAAGAGGGGTAGCTAACATGTCGATGCCAATCAGGATCCAGAAGGATCTGGACACAACAGGACAGAATCTAATTAAATGAAATTTAGTTAGGGTTATCCCTATTAAAGGTAAAGTTCTACAGCTGGGTTCAAAAATTGAACTTCATTAAGTATGGATAGGATAGGTGTTGCCAGGCAACAGTTCCCTTGGAAATGATCTAGAGATTTCAAGCTTGATATGGCAACGTGATGTAGCAACAGCAAGAACAAAATGTCATGTGGGTATTATGTCCTGGTCAGATCACAGTGCTGAGCTAGGGTATGGACAGAAGAGACTGAACAGGATAGTAAGAGGATTGGAAAACATTTCTGACAAAGGCTGGTTAATGGAAATAGAAGGGAAAGGAATATGCATTTATATGGCACCAAGCTGAGTGGTGCAGTGGGTAGAAGTCAGGGCCTGGAATCAGGAAGACCTGAATTCAAATCTGGTCTCAGACATTTACTAGCTGTCTGCCCTGGGTAAGTCACTTAGCCCTGTTTGCCTCAGTTTCCTCATTTGTAAAATGAGCTGGAGAAGGAAATGTCAAGCCACCCCAGTGTCTTTTCCAGGAAAACCCCAAATAGAGTTATGAAAAATTGGATGCAACTGAAATGACTGAAAAACAGCCACAAAAACAAAAACACCAAGTATGTGCCATGCACTGAGCTAAGCACTTTAAAAATATTACTTCATTTCATCCTAAAATCTCCAGGCTAATGTTTAACCTGCAGAATAGAGAAGATTCAGGGAAACCAAAATGGGGATTGTCATATATATAGAAGAGGGATTAGACTTTCTCTGCTTAGCTCTGGAGGGTTATTGGTGGAAGTTGTTGAGGGGTAAATTTAGGCTTGATTGAAAGATAAGCTTCCTAATAATTAGAGTTATCTTAGATAGAATGGGCTGCCTCAAGAAGTAGCTGGTTTCTTATTCTTAGACATCTTCAGGCAGAGGCTAGATGACCATTTATTAAGGATTTTGTATGGGGGATTCTTGGCGGGATACAAGTTGAATTACTGAGGCTTCTTCCAGCTTGGAGGTTATGTGATCATTCTGAGAGAACCCACCATGAAAGCCTGTAATTTCTTGATCCTCTGAGTAAATCTACTACTTTTTATAGAATACTATGTCTTGCATCGACCTTGAAGATAGTATTTTTCTATCCCCTCATTTCACAGATAAGGAAATGAAGGCCCTGAGCCTAATTGGGTGATTTGGTACAGTTGTTATTTGTTGCCTGAGGTGTTGGAAGGAGGGATCACACAGCCAAGCTGGAGACATGAGGTGAGAAACCTCATAACCATGGTGAATACCATAAAGCTGTTATTTCCATTCCTGCCATTCATATTCACTTTTACACTTAGCTGGTCTTTGAAGCATGGATATACATGGTTGGATGCTCTGGGGGAATTATTCAGGACTTGGCATAAAGTTGTGTTCTCTTCTTTTCAATGTCAAATAGTCTCTTTTTTTCTCCCTTCAGTTACCCAGTAAGGCTTCCAGTCATTTACCTAGTCTTATTGATTCTACATGTATGAAATGAATCAAATTCAGCTACTTTTTCTTCGCTGTCACTATCTTCATTCTGAACCTTGTTATCTCTCATCATGTTGGTTCCATCAGTAGCCTTTTAAATAGACTATGCCTCCAGTTACCTCTGCAATCCATCTCACACAATACTATAAGATATATCTTATATTGGAAGAGCTAGAAGACAAAACTGATGAAGTATTGCCAGTGTTTGAATGATTATGGAGAATGGGAAAGATTTTCTCATTTTTAAAGGAAGGAAGAGAAGTAGTCTGTCAACTCTAGGCCAGCAAACTTGACTTTTATTCCTAGCAAAATTTTACAATATATTATTAAAGGGATTGTCAGTGAAGATCTAGAAAATGAGGTGATGATCACAAAGATCCAACATAGCTCTATTAAGAATAGGGAATGCCAGATTAATCTCATTTCCTTTTATGATAGTCACTAAACTGCAATGTAAAGAGAGTTGCTGTTAGATATAGCTTGTCATTGTTGTTCGTTTGTTTCAGTCATGTCCAACTCTTTGTGACCCCAATTTAGGGTTTTCTTGGCAAAGATGCTGTAAAGGTTTGCCATTTTCTTCTCCAGCTCATTTTACAAATGAGGAAACTGAGGCAAACATGGTTAAGTGACTTGCTCAGTGTCACACAGTGAGTAAGTGTTTGAAGATGAGTGTTCTGTTTCCAAGCCCAGTGCTGTATCCACTATGCCACCTAGCTGCCCTATAGCTTGCCTAGATTTTGGCAAAGATTTGATAAAGTCTAATTCTATTCTTATGGAAAAGATGAAGAAATGTGGCTTAGGGAACGGGTGGACTTATGCATGGTAGATTTGGAATAGGTTGAATGGCCAGATCTAAAGAGTCATCTGTTTGAAGAGGAGAAGGGGAAGAGAGCAAGTATGTACTTAATACATACTTTGTGCCAACTGATTTACAAATATTATCTTATTTATTACTTGAAGATATCATTATCAATCATCATTATCATCATCATCAGCAGCAGCAGCAGAAATGAATATAGTAATTAGAGACCTACTTTTGGAGTCAAAAAGACCTGGGTTCAAGACCTCTCTCACCCATCATACTGGCTTTGTGACCCTAAGCAAGTCACAACTTCTCAGTGCTGTTATGTAATTTAAGTCAACCCACAAGCATTTATTCAACACCTACTATGTGCTTAAGTGCTGGACAACTCTAAGACTATAAAACTGTAGGTCCTATGCACCTTTATATCTTCCCCGATACCTAGTATATAGCACCTTAGACATAGTAATCACTCTAATGGCTGAATGAATATT